CGACATACACGACTTACCCGCTTTTTTTTCTTTATTTCTTCTGTTGGTTTTTTAAATTTTAAACCTAATTTTTGATACGCATCATTTTTTTTATTTTTGGATTTGCGGTCTGTATCTTTTGGATCCCACAAACATCGGCACTTTTTAAATTCGTCAATAAATGTGAGCACTAGTTCATCATTCCACTCGGACGCCATGGTGACAACTAATTGACGAACTAAATTTGTAATGAAATTACGTAATTCCATATTATGATATTTGATAACATCCATTTACCTATAAATATCTAGTTTTATTTATATTCAAGTGATATGAATTTCCTGTTTACACGAGAAACCCGAAACAACACGAAAAACAACGAAATACAACGAAACAATACGAAAAATATTTTCGTGTCCTTTGATTTCGTCAATTTTACCACCTCGTTCGCGAAACACTAAAGGTGGGATCACACGGCGCGTGGCGCGTCGCGAGGAGTGTGGAACGTGTATATACCGCGCAACAACCCGCGCCAAGTTCTGCGCGACAACTTGGCGCGCCTGTGTGATCAGACGGAACGTCATAGTTCAATAAGTTTCTCCTAGGCGCGTCTCGTTCTGGAATCATAAATTTTGTTCCATTGTGATAGGTACACTATTCTAATTTTTGCGCGTAAAAATTAAATTTCCTTTTGTTAATTTGAAGTGACTGTGCGTCAGTGCACGTGTTGTGGACTGTGGTGTATGATATTAGATATTAATCAATAATTAATTTATAAATAATTTATATTATAATTTACTAATTAATTTATAATTAATTATTAATCGTGATTCGTATATGCACAATTATATTATTTAAATTATGGATTATACTGACGAAAAATCAAAACTTGCTGTTTGTGCAGCTGCATATGTCCTACTAAGTGGCCAAGTTTTAAAAAGTGCTAGTGAAACCAAAAACAAAACGTTATTGGGTTAATGCATACTACAAAAGTCGGAATAAGTAAGTACATTTTTACTGTATTTTATTTTGAACTGTTTTAACTTAGCACAAATGTTGTAAAAAAGTACTTTTAAAAAGTTTTTTGTTAAATATTCAGTATATAATTTTAAAAAACAAATATTTTAGTATTTATAAGTTTGTGGTTAAATGGTTTAATTCTATTGTCTATTAGTCCAACTATATTTTATCGTCACATGTGCAGTGTGTCCAGTGTCCAATGGGACCTTTGGTACAACCAATCTTAATGAAATTTTAATTTATTTTTATCAAGTTATAACACCTATATTATACTTAAAGGTGCAATCAAAGTACAACAATTTGGGGGTTTCAACCAAATTCAGAATAGTTTTTTAGTGGGATTTGCAAGTTTTTTATAGGAGTTATCCCCCACACCCCATTAATTGCGCCTATGTTTGCTATACTATACTTGTAGTTAAACCAAATAATATGTTATAATATGCATCTATCTACAAGGAAGTAGTATATTGTGTCTCATTCATAATTTTCTTAACGTTTATCTTATTTATTAATGATTATTAAATGATTTTAAAAAAAAATGAATATAAACTTCTTCCACAGTTGTATTATATTTTACATTATTAAAATAAAAACAAATAAATTAATAAAAAAAAAAAAATCATTAGGTCATCATTAAAAAATGATTTTAAAACCTTTAAAAGGGCACTTGTAATGTTGACAATTAAAAATAGAGAATTTTCCATGTTTTACAATTATTTAATAAAATTACTAGGTAGTAGATAAAAAGAGACTGTTAGGAATCATTGAAAGAGCTCTAGGTACTTTTAAAGTGCAAATAGTTAAGTAGGTAGGGGAGAGTGTTGTGCCTTGGACCGCATGTAGGTACCTTGGTCTTATGCTTATTTCTGCCTTTGTAATTGATAAAGAATTAATTCATGGGGGAAATTATAGTCACTAGTTCTACAGCATTGAAATATATCCACAGTTAGAACAATAAAATCACTAATGAATTTATAATAAAAAAAATGTAATTTAGCCTATCAAAATAATGATTTTTGGTTTTTTTATATTTTATTTTCAACATTTAAATTTGTGATAGAAGTTCTTAGGGTTAGTGCCATTTTACGTTAAATATTGAATATAATTTAATGATGTAGTCAATTTAGACAAAAAATTAGTATTAGGGTCCAAAAAATTACATTCTTTCCAAATTTGTATGCATGTACCTTGGACCAAATCATGAATTTTAAGGTTTAAAAAATTTAACAATATTTTTTATCATCTACCTAAGGTTAAGTGTTTATATATTATCTATATACTGAATCGGTTAGGTAATTTATAATTTTTTAAGTAATATTTTTAAAATATTTTTTCTTATATTTCAATGCAAATTCCAAGGTACATTATACATTGTACCTTGGTCCATTTTTTTATTTTTTTTAAAAATAAAATTATCTCAAAAGACAGTTGATTTAGGATTTGGAAAAAAAATACTCATGTATAGATTTATTATATCTACAATATTTGTAATATGAATTAACGTGAAATATTAACAATTAGAGCTGTTAGGGGACATTTAATAAAAAAGGTCCCAAGGTACAACACTCTCCCCTAACCATATTAACTTTTTCTATTGTTTTTATATAATAGCTAATAAATGTACCTAAATATTTCATTTTTTATAGATACAATGCAACACATATGTTACATGACATTCAAATAAATCCATCTAGAAAATTTGATAATTTTTGTAGAATGTCATCAGGTGACTTTGCATATTTACTAAATAAGATTGGGCCTTTTGTTTCCAAAATGGATACCAATATGCGGAAATGTATACCAGTACAAGAGAGATTAGCAGTGACATTAAGATACCTGGCCACTGGTGACAGTTTTATCAGCTTATCTTACCTATTTAAATTCTCTCCACAAACTATATCAAATTGTGTACAAGAAGTATGTGCAGCATTAATAGAAGAGTTGAAAGGCGAGATAAAAGTAAAAAAAACAAATTTGTTAATGTAATATAATAATTTGTATATAATTAATTCATATAGGTAATATATACAATATACATTTTGTAAAACCTAATAAAAAGTCAACCTATGATTTTTTAAATAAACCATCAAAACTGATTTCATTTTGAGATCCTGAAGTTTTTATCTTTTTATTTTGAGAAGCATTAATATTTGATGACTGAGAATTTGAATAATCTGATGAAATCTGGGAATTGAGCAAAGATGCAACATGATTTTGTGGTGGTGGTACTCTATGTTCTGGTGATGGTCGAGGGCGAGGTAAAGGTGCCATATAAGTTTGTTGTGTCTGGTAATGAGGTAATAGATCTGTATATTCAGGATGGCTGAGGGCGAGGTGAAGGTGCTAAATTATGATGTGGTGTCTGGTAATGTTGTGTTAGATTTGTATAATCTGGTGATGGTTGAGAGTGAGATAAAGGTGCCAAATAAGCTTGTGGTGTCTGGTAATGTTGTGATATATTTGTACAATCTGGTGATGGTTGAGAGTGAGATGAAAGTGTCAAATTATTTTGTGAAGTCTGATAATGTGATGATGGTTGGGGACGATACTGATATGACGAAAACCTTGTTAATGCTTCAGTATTATTCTGTTTAAGGGCATAAAGAAAATTGTCGATTTCATGCATTGCAAATTCACGGGTATTATCATCTTTTAAATTCCTCAATTTTTTTGCAAGTAATTCAGAGTATAAAGAACATTCATCGCTAATGGGTGCATTTGACACTTTCTTTAAAATGTTATACGCTTCATCCATACGATTTTCAATAATTTTCTTATTACAGTCTTTTTTTGATTTTTTTCTATTTATTAATGGATTGTTGATAATACTTTCCTCTTGAGTAACCGAAGGAGTAGTAGTGTTCATTTCCTCATTCGCTTCTTCCTCGTACTGTTCATGGTCACTAGTGTCTTCATCTATATCACTAGTAGATTTGTCAGCTAATGCCTTAAAATCCAAACATACATATTATATAAATACATCAAAAAATAAATATTTAAATATTTTCATATTAAGGCTGATATAAAACATAGTTAATATCAATGTCACATTTACAGTTGCCAAAAAATCCTGAAGAATGGCTGAAGGTTGCAGAAGACTATGATGAGAAATGGAACTTCCCACATTGCATAGGAGCAATCGATGGGAAACATATAGTCATTCAATGTCCGATAAATAGTGGATCAGAGTTCTTTAATTATAAAGAAACTTTTAGCATTGTGTTAATGGCGTTAGTTGATGCCAACTACATGTTCACCTATGTAGATATCGGTTGTCAGGGTAGGATAAGTGATGGTGGTGTATTTAAAAATACATCACTATGGRCCACAYTAGAAAAAAATCAACTTATGCTGCCATTAGATRCACCACTTTCRAACMAAAATGARTTAGTGCCCTATGTATTYGTAGGAGATAATGCATTTGCATTGGGAACTCATATGATGAAGCCATACTCTGGAGTTTTTGAAAAGGGTAACARAAAACGKRTATACAAYTATCGGCTGTCAAGAGCACGTCGGGTAGTGGAGAACGTATTTGGCATTTTGTCCTCAGTGTTTAGAGTATTCAGAAAACCGATTTTACTGAGTGAACAGAAGGTTTCTCAAATAACTATGGCATGTGTTCTACTGCATAACTACTTAAGAAGAAGTAAAACTTGGAATATATTCTCCACCAGGAGTATTTGATAATGAAAAAGAAAGCGAACTTCAACCAGGATCCTGAAGAGAAGACCAAGGCAGTATGACCTCATTTATGCCAGTGCAAAGGATTCCAAGAAGATCAGGACTAGAACCATTAAGAATTAGAGATTTATTTGCTGATTATTTTGTCTCTAACGATGCAGTAACTTGGCAGAACGACAAGTGATTTAATTTAATATTACAAATTTGTAATTTTTTAAGATTATGTCATTAAATAATCTAACAAATTAAATTATTTAAATTAATCTGTTATAAATATACAATTTAGTAATGAAATGTCATTAACAACACAATTTTTAAAATATACATTATACTAAAATAAATAAATCTGAATTTATGCCTAAGTTTAAAAGTGTTATTAATTTTCATAATATAATATAGGTACTTTTAAATACAAACTTTGCAGAAATATGTTAAATATTAATATTTGGTATTATAATTGGATCTAATATTGATTATTCACTAACTTGTTTAAATGGTGATAAAAGTAAGCCATAATAGAAATAGTGGGTGGCTCAAAAATGGACCTCAGTTAAGAGAAATTGGGGCACAGAAATGTATAGAATTGTAGTGTGTACCTTTGATAGTAGGCAGTAAACAACAAGTCAAAAGACATGTGGTAAAATTAAAAAAAATCGAAAATTCTCATTGACTATTCATAATAATAACGCTATAGATGTCAGATATTAATTTGTTCAACATAATGAGTTATATTTTGTGTATATTTTTTATTTATTTTAGCCGAAATTCAATGTTTTTGATACATAATTTGGTTTAACTATTTTCAAAAATCAAAAATCTTCAATTTTAATATTTTTGAAAAATTAAAAACTGTTTATATAGTGAAATACCACGGAGATCAATTTTACTTCGGTGAAAAATATATGTTTGACCGACCTTTGCTCGATAAAACGTAATTGAAAATAAAAATTTTCAAAATTATCAAAATTCATAACTTAATATTTATATTATAATAATGCTGAATGCATATAATTTTCCATTAACTTGACTTAGGGCTGCAATGTGCCTAAAAGGGATCAAAGGTTTATAATGTTTTCCGTTTTATTTCTGGAGAACATTTTTAAATTGCAGCAAAATAAGTGCAGATAAAAACCTTGATTTTTGGAAAAAAAGATGATCAATTTGTTTATTACAAGCTGTTTTTTAATTGTAAATTTAGCATTAAGATCACAAGGTAACAAAAACAAGTTCAGTTATAAGGCTGGTTTCTTTGGGCAATTTAGAAACAATAGTGTAAAAAAAACTTCTATCTATAATTATATTATACAAGTGCAGGGGCCCCATAACATTGTTCGCACCTGTTGTTGGTAAACCTAGCTGTGGCACTGTGTACAGTTTTTAGAAATATTAGTGATTTTTCTTATATAAAAGTTTGATGTATTAATGTATTATTTGTTAATATCACAAAAGAATACAATTTTAAATTATAAACTAAGGTAGAGATTCAACTGTACCTAAAAAAGGCTTAAACACTTTTAGGTAGGTACTATCATAACGAACACAACAACAGTACAATACTAAACTTTTAATATAAGAATTATATTATTCAGACAGATATTAGTACTAGCACTTTGTACTTAGAAAAGTATTAATTTATTGTTATAAAGTAAATAATATAAACTCATTTATCTACTAGAATAATATTTTAAGATATAATGACAAATATTGGTGATGACTAGGATAAAAGCAAACTTGAGTAATACTTAAGTACCTACCTAGATATTTTAGTATTTATGTTACTGCTTTTTTTTTATTAGAAATATAATTCTTTAGGCTCAACCATTCTAAATATAATTATTAATATACAATTTAATTGCAAAATGTATTTTAGAGTTATGACAGATATACTTACAAAAACCATTCACATATGCTTAAAAAACTACCTACAGATTTACTTATTTCTATTTATTTCTAGTGTATTAAAAATTCAAATTAAATTACCTCTGAATTTTTAGTTTGACGTGGTTGAAAAACCCCATGCAAAAACCTTGCCATATGTTCATATGCAAACCATTCAGGTTTGAATACCCCGTCCGTACCTGAACCAGTCCTTTTGCTAGCCTTGACCTTCAATGACAATTTTCTGAATGTCCCCATAAGCGAATCTTTTTTTTTTTTAAGTTCACTTATTGAATATTCACCTGCACTTAAGTTTTTTGAAATTTTTCCCCAAGCATCATGCACATGGTTTCGAAGTTTATGATTTGGATCACTTGGATTCCATATAGATGGCTCACCTTCGTACAGCTCCAAAAATTGTGCAATTTGTTCATTGGACCATTCCATTTTATAAAATAGTACTAGGTATAGGTACTAATTATTACTATAAGTAGTGCGTAGGTATAAACTCTGAACTGTGGAAAATATATCCAAAATCCAAATACTAAAAATGTAGTTCAAAGTATGAAAAATGATAAATAGATACATTGATAAACCATTAATACCGACGCGCCGTTAGATTGATAAGACGCGCCGCGCCAATTTTCCTTTGGCGCGTGACACAAAGACCGACAATTGTCGGGAAGCCACGCGCCGCGCTGCGCTCATACAAACCTTGCCGCGCAATACCGATCAGACGGCGCGTCAACTGTACCACGCTATACCACTCCACGCTCCTCGCGACGCGCAACGCGCCGTGTGATCCCACCTTAAGAAACCGTTGTGACGAAAAAAATTTTCGTGAAAAAGCTATACACACTATTCACGAAATTCAACGAAAACGTGAAAACACGAAACGCGAAACATGCATAGTGTGGAGCGACCTTTACTGATAATAATGTATATACTGCGTCGATATAAATGTCATACTGCATGTAAATAATTCTTTTGCAATATTTTTAATATCTGCACGTATTCACTATACTATTTGGTCATTATAATGTTATAGACTAGGCAGAATTGTAGAGTGTAAGCATACTATAGGACATAATAGGTATGTAAAAAAATCTAAAAATTAAATAAATAGTAATATATATTGAATTATATTATAAGCTATACTATTATATAAACCGTGCTAATTCCGTTTTTTATCTTTTGGTTTTTGATTTTTGATTTTTGATTTTTCTTTTAAAATGTGTCTGGGTTCTCTGATGTCTGTTAATTCTAGGCGTTTTCCATAAAGTGGACATGCAGGCACGGACTGGTAAAAAAGGGCACGGGATGCTAAATAATTTTAAGGGCAAATAACAAMATTTTTTAGKGCAAATTGAAAACTTATAGGTTATTTATAAAATATTGAAAATACGTTAAAAACCTAAATAGGGACTTACCAAATTACAACAAACATTCAAA